TTGGGATTTCAATTGGCATTGCACTAAATCTATATAGTAGTTTTGGAAGTATGGCCTTTTCACTATATTGGTTCTTCCTACCCAGGAGCAAAAGATGTCTTTCCATTTTCTTATATCCTCTTCGATCTCTTTTCAGAGTGCCGTAGTTTTCACTGTAAAGGTCTTTTGCCTCCTTACCTTAGTGTGGTTTTAAGTAACCTCTCCTTGAGGGAGAAAATTTGCTTTTTAGCCCATCCTTATAATTTAAAAAAAAGTCAGGGCCAGGGATGTAGCTCAGAGGCACAGCGCCCGCCTGGCAAGAGGAAGGTCCTGAGTTTGACCCCCAGTACATTATAAATAAATAAATAAATAAATGTCACTCTCTTCAATTAAAAATAATCATAGAAAGCTTTACACAAATAGAATATGTCAGCTGCATTTGCCATAACATTTGTCACTATCCTAAGTACTTGACATACATTTTCCAATCCGTTAAGATTATTTTTCTCATTCCAAAATGAGTAAATACAGAGATAATTAAGTAACTTATGCATCTTACTACTGTCCAAAGTCACACCAGTTATCAGTGGCAGAGGTAGGGTTTGGACCCCACCCAGAATCAGAGTCTAAGCTCTTCTCCTCCCAAGAGAGACTGTGGGAAAACAGTGTTGCCCTGTGAACGGCTGGGTCTACCCTACAGGTTAAATTCAACTAACACTGATAAATTAATGGCTTTTGATATGTGTGGTAGGAAGGAAAATTGAATTAGGTTAGGACAGATGAAAATCAACTCCAGCAAACAGACATAGTCAACTGCTCTTTCAGCCCAGATATGAGGCAACAAAAGGCCCATCTACGGTGACTGGCACAAGGAACCCTTTAAAATAGCTAATGAGGTAGGGCTGAGTTTTTTACTTTCAAATATTTGAAACTCCATTCCTTAAAACCAAGGCAAATTACATCTCCATCAAGCACATGGTGATTGAGCCCAATGCTCATAAATCATCATTAAGAGGCCAAAATGTAATATTGCACCTGGCAATTTCCCTTCTGCAGGCACAGCTGCAGGGGACCCATTGTTCCTGTTTCAGAGACAAGACACCACTCAGCTCTCAGAAATTTGAGAACTGTCCCAGATTTGGGGTTTAGGACATCCCATATTACTGAAATCACCTGACTTTGGAGTAGCATATGTAATAATTTGTATTTCCTTATTTTCCTGGAATGACTTCAAACTCTTCTGTGCCTTGTTTGTGCTTGTGCTTATCAACACGCAGAGTTAAGGAGTAACCTGATAAAAGTAATCAAAGCTGTGCTTCTAAGGAGTATGCAGTCAGGCCCTTATGTATCTGGAAACCCCCTCAAAGTGTTTACTGCCCATAAAATTGCAGTTTCTGGTACACTTATTATTTGTGGCCCACTCAGCATTTATCTGGAAGCAGACAGGGAACCTTGTGATTGCATACAACCTGCCACCATTTCCTTCCTACACACGTGCAATTACATGCGTATGTGCACACACACATTTAAAATCACAGAAATCAAAGGGATAATACATAATTTGATTTACATCACCCACTTTACAGATGGAAAAACTGAGGTTCTAGTATGTATTATAGCTAGTCATTATATGAGTTAGATTTCTGTTCTTGGTACATCTGTGTTGCTGTAACAAAACACATGAGCCTAGAAGTATATTTCTCACAGTTCCAGAGGCTGGGGAGTCTGAGATCAAGGCACCAGTGGGCTTAGGGTCTGTTGAGGGGTTGGTCTGCTGTCATGATGGCATCTGGACTGCAGCACCCTCCAGAGAGAAGGAGCCCTAGGTTCCTACATGGGGAAGGAGAAAGGGCACAAGCACCTGCATGGTTCCCTCCAGCCATTTTACATAGTACTCATCCCATCCATGAAAGACAGAGCCTCATGGCCTAATTACTCCCTAAAGACCCCACACTTAATTCTGCTGCACCAGGGAATTAACTTCAACATGAACTCATGAGAGGACAGAAACATGCAAGCCATCACACCCTGAGTGACAACCAGCAGACTCCACTTCAGTCTAGTATAAGCAAAAAGGAGAATATTACAACAAAAATAGGGAACAAAGACATTCATTTTTCTGGAGTATGTCTCAAGAAAACTCTAGGGTGGGCACACATTCAGGCACCAGTACCTCGCTGTCTCTCACCTTTACACTAGCTGCTCCCCTGTACTCAACTCTCTTTCTGTCCCAGCCTACTTCCTCAACTTCTCCAGGTGAATTTTTAAAACTCAGGAATAGATCTGCTTACCTAGCCTAGTTCAGATGTCTATCCCTCAACCAAACCACCCACAGCCCAGGACCCTGGTCACATTAGAATATGACAGCCTCCACTCCAGGAATGTGGTCTGGAGGAAAATTCCTAGGTGATGGATATGGGACAAAGTATTCCATGTGAGCCCATACTAGAATTTACAGCTCCTCGCTCTTACCTGAGCTACCTTTTCTGCTTCATCTCTCATCCTGTTATTTGCTAAGTGATTCAAATACATACAGAATCTCTTCCTATAATGCATTCACTCCTAACTATAATTTGTTGAGAGATTATATATTATATATTTTATATATATATATATATATATATGTAACTATGCATTTAACAACTACATAATTGCATTTGTTCTTCACAGTAGCTTGGAACAAGGTAATATTAGCTCCGTTCTAGGGTCCAAAGATTGAGTTGTAGTAGACAGACAAAGTGAATAAGAGCCTGAATCTAGTAACTAAGAATTAAGAAAAGCACAGAGAATAAACAGTGAGGAAGAATACAGTGGCAGGGAAATAAGTGAGATCTCAGCCCTGAGCTCAAACACAAGAAGAGTGCACCTGGAGGAGGCAAACCATAGAGAGGGTCAAGACACCAAAAGCCACTGATTCATCAGAAGGAGAAAGAGAAAATGGAGCTATTTTTTAAAACCTGCAGCAAGACCAGCTTACAGAATTTAAAGGGTATTGGTTAGGGCTTTGGGTCCCATCATATCAAGGCCATTACCAGTAATTTCGTCAATTGTTTATAATGACTTCATGGCAAGAAGTTCTACAATTACATTTTTTAGAAAGAATGCAATTACTATAGTCCAAATCAGAAGTTAGAAGTCACTTAACCACATGCACCTTTGTATGCACTTGGATTGTAGCATAATTAAGCACCTTAGCCCTGAAAGCTATGTAAGACACACAGTGCTTGCTTTGAGTCTCATCTGGAAGGTGACCAGATGCATGGGGCACTGCAGGCCACCTGTAATGGAGGTGCTTGTGCCTTCTGGCTGGTTTAGTCACCGCTGAACTAGGGAAACTAGGACTAGGTCTACAATTAAGGAAATGCCACTCTAGGCCCCAGGGAACCATGTGTTCTTCAATGGCTGTCCCGGATCACTTCAACAGAGCAACACGTCAACACCCAAGAGGTAATTTACAGAAAGGGGCTGAGATTAAGAGTTCAATTTGGGCATGTTGCATAAGATCTCCTTTACAGCAGTGACTTTGAGAGATAGGTAGTTTCGTCTCCACTTTATAGATGAAAAGGCAGAGAAGTTAAAGCCCAGATCACTGGAGCAGCATGTGAAGGTGGCCCCGCCTGACCCCACAAGCCATGGCTTCTCTACACCAGGCTCTCTGGGGCAGTGTGTCTCCTCCAGCAGAAGGACTGTCCTGCCCAATCTCACCTGTTCCCACACAGCACATCCTGAGCTGGGGGTGAAGGAGGGTGCAGCAGACGTTCTAGAAGCACACTTCCTCTAAGATCAACCCTCCACTCTGAGTCTAGTATCAATCACTTCCCATCTTACTGCTACTGACACCAGGCCCTTTTCTCAGCCCCCTGTCTTCTGCCTTCATGTTCTTGGTCTTTCCCTCACTCATCCTCTTCCCTGCATTTCCCTCATTGCTTTCCAGCCTGCATCTATGTCTCTGCACCACCACACCTTATTCAGCCTACTTTGGTGATGAAATGGAAGCAGCCCTGGGTACCTGAGTGCAAACTGCTTCTGACTTACCTTCCATCTCCTCCCCTTCATGTCTGCTCCTTCTTTCCTTTTCCTTATACTTCTCAGTTCTTGTCTCCCTTGTTTCTTTAATTGAAGTCTTCTCATCCTTTCCCTCTTTTCCCTCTTTTCTTGTCCCAATGAAGCCCCCGTGCTTACTTCTGGGCTCCCTTTCATCCCCACCTGCAAGCCAAACACACATGACCACCTGCAGGGGTCAGAGTGTGCACCCTCTGCTTCCCCTAGCAGTCACCTGGCCCTGGCCCAGCTTGCTGGCCACACCCTGGCCTCAGTCCATCCCACAGGAAGCTTGGGGCCTCTGCTGCTCTGGGAGAAGCAAAGCTCAGAGAGAACAGAAGAGGAATGTGTAAATATGCATATATCCAAATATAATCCAGAAATACAGTGCATATTTTTAAATCAAGTTTAAAAATTAAGAAAAAGGGATAGGGATTTAGCTCAGTGGTTCTGCCACCTGCCTCGGAAGCACAAGGTCCCGAGTTCGATCTCCTGTACCAAAAAAAAAAAAAAGAAAAGAAAAAATTAAGAAAAGTATGAAATATTGTGAGACTTTTGTTTTCACATGCCATCCCTTCAATAAAGAAATTAAAACTATGAACGTTACATTGCCACTCAGACCCATTTTTTTTCCTGAGAATCATGGGCATTTTCATTCTTTCCTACTAAAAAGCAATCAATTAACTCTAATTCTTAAAGAGCTTCCTTTTTAAACAGGTTATATTCATTTTAAACCCAAGCTGTAATCACAAGAATAGTCAATGTGTGAGTAAGAAAGAGTTATTACATTTAAAGAAGCAGTACAGTAGTATGGGATAAGGCAGGGAATCTGACCTCCCTCATTCTGGTTCAGAGGAGACTATGAAAGATCTCCCACTTTGAATTTCTCAAGTAAATGAATTATTTGGTCATTCTTTACCACACAAAATTTGTACCAATTTTTTTTTTTTTGCTAATTTAAGGAGCTAAAGCAATATTCAGGTTACCTTATGTTTGTTCACCTGTAGCCTCTCTGAGAGGACCAGCTCTTCTGAAAGAAGCACACACCTGTGAGCAAAACAGGAACAGGTAATCGATGGCTTGGATCAGAGAAGCAGAAAGAGTGTTCACTTCTCGGGAAAACCCGCAGTCACCCTCACCTTATCAGTGGAATTTGAAGGATGCTGTTCAACACCATCAGCCGCACCACTGTTCATTTCATCATTAGGTAGCTTTTCCCCAGTGTTTCCAAGACGTCTGCTCAATAAATGCATTTCCCAAGTCCTTGGTCTCTGTGCTTACAAAACCCTTTAAGATTCTGATAAAAAAAATTTCTAAAATATGCTCATTTATCAGATATACATCCAATTTTTTTAAGGAGGAGGTCAATCCACTTGCCATAAACTAAAGTCTTAATTATCACCTAGCACCTTACCAGGGAACTGACAGCAAGTTGCAAACAAATATAGACCACAGATCAAAGGGCCCAACACATCAACTGCAATGAAGTGGTGCAGACCAGCACCCCAAGCTGGAGAGGCAGGAGCTTGTGGGCTGGCAGGGAAGAGGGCAAGAGCTGAGAACTTTCCTAGAAAAGAGCGCACATAACTTCAAAGTGACTTCAGATCAACTCCCTCAAAATCCTTTAGAACAAACTTCTGCCATCTTGTTGTGATTTCTTAAATTATACATTCTCCGACAGTGAATATCTAAGATGTGGCCAAGGCTATTTAGAAACACTTCAGAGCATGTGAGCATAATTTCATACTACATTATAAAGAATTCTTATGAAGTTACATGATTTATCTTTCCGAGCCCGAAGCAGTCCCTCCTAAAAAGAGAAAGTGCACTGAAGCTGATCAGTAAGCTCCGATTATTTTGGCTTTCTTTTAACAAAGCCCTCAGAAATTAAACATGTGCTTGAAGACCACACTAACTGGCTGAAGTAGACAGTTCCCCATGTGAACAAGAAGAGCTCTGCGCTAGATGGCTGCCTTGGCGAAGGGTAACATTCTCGTCACTTTTTTCTAAACCCAGTATTTTTCTGTCTTAAAGATATTATGTCTCCTAAACTTTTCTCCAGCTTTTCTTTCCAATAACTCCACTTAAGTAATGCCACAAAAGCTATTCCTTGAAAACCAATTTGTTCATTAGCCAGAAGGCTGCTGGAAAGCTGCTCAACTTAGACACGTAGGTCTGTTTCAGTGGAGAAACCATTCTTAGTCCTGCTGTCCTCTTGGGAAATTCAGAAGCCTTTCCTTCTTAAGGACCTTAGCTCAGTCTTCCTGGCAGAGGATTCCAGCGACGTGGAGTAAGGAACTGGCAACGTGGGCCACCTAATACATGTGTTGGAGAGAGACAGGTGTCTTGCTCCTTTACTCAGGGAAACCCCAAGGCCTTACCGACTCCCTGGGGTTCACCATCCTGTCAGGCTGGGTGCTGCTACTAAGGAAGTGCACAAGGTAGGCATCTGCTAGAGGCCACTTGGAAGCCCGGGCAGAGTAAGGACTGAACACCCTGCTGCCCAGGCATGGCAGCCTCCCAGTGGCACAACGGGGCCTCCCCTCCTGGGTCCAGCCTGGCACACGGGTCCTGAAGAGCGAGTCACGGATCCCCGACTTGTCACAGGCCACAGTGGCACGGTTCTGCCCTGCAGCTCTTTCATCTCTCTCCTGGGGCTCAGACATTCTTTGCGGGGGAGGGGGCTACACGGTGATTCACGTCTCATACTAGCCCAGGACTGAATTCAAGTCTTCTTCCTTCCCTCCAACAGGTAAGGGTTTGACATAAAAACTCGCCCTCCTTAGGGGTGCTTTTTGCAAGATCCCTTGAGCCCTGTTTCCATTGACATGGTGTCATCCAATGGCTGTGGGTACAGTCCAGCCCTGGCCGAGGCTCCTGCTGCCCTAAGTGACCACTCAAACTCAAGGAAAGGCTTCTGACACCCTCTTGGAGATGGCCAGATATTTATTATCTTTGAAATAAAATCATCTTGATTAGAACAACTAACATGTCCCACCTCATAAAGAACAAAGGGATTTGGTTCAGGAGACAGAAGACCACCCAGGGCAGGCAATTAAGGAAAGGCAAGGAGAAGAGAAGAGGACACAGGGAGGAGTCACAGAACACTGGGTTCGTGCTAGCACAGTGATGTGGCTGGCCAGGGTCGCAGCAGCTTCCTTCTTCTCAGTGACATGTTGGTCACACCCAGGAAGAGCAGCACCCAGGCTCCACTCCAGAGCACGGTGCATGAAGACCGAGTAAATGTGATGTGATCTGCTTGTGACTGTAATCCAGGAAAGGCAGGGGAGGGACAAAGACAGAGTGAGGAAAATTCATCACACTACTCACCCTCCTAGGACTCAAACCCCGACTGTTTGATTTTGCTGATCCCCTTCGGTGCTGGGGATGGCTGTAGCCTGCCAGCGTTCAGACATTTCTGTGGGTTTAATTATCCCTTGTAATAACTTCTCCCTATTTCTATGAAGAACAGATGATCAACAACACCAGCCCAGGGCCCTAAATACCATGCAGGAGAAAGACACAGCTCTTTCCAAGCATGGTTTATCAATGTCATATCCACATTTTGATGTTCTCACTGTAAAGCTTTAATATCAATAATAACAGCCTTTTCATTACGAATATTTAAATAAATGCCTTCCATCTGAAGCAGAAGTGATTATTATCAATATTTGGATGAACCAGAGCCCCCGTGACAGTTCAAACAGCTGCACTCAGCTTTGGCTCTGTAATAGACACAGAAAGCTCCCCAGTGGGAAGCAAGGCAGGGACTGATGAATTCCACCCAGCTCTTCAGTTACAGATTATTAAAAGATGAATTATAAAATTGGCGCAAGAATGGTCATGGACATTCTTTCTAGCTAGCATCATCCCCAAGGTTCTGATAATCACAGAGGAATCTTTAAATCAGAGAACAATTCAGTTCTAACTCAACCAGACAGTGTTTGTAAAGCTGCCATGCACCATCAGCACACACACTTCCCTGAGCAATTGTGCGCTAATTTACCAAGGACGGCCACATGCAGTTGCCAGTGGGACAAGGACAACACAGGATGCCATAAAAGTCTAAGCAACACCCTGTCCTGGCCCATGGGACAGGACTCAAAGAGATGGAGGCAGGAAGCCAGAGCTTGCAGGAGATGTAACAGACCTTGGACTGAGGGCAGAGGTCTCTGGGGTTCTCCTGACCTAAGGGCTCCAGTGATATGTCTTTGTGGGCTCCAGGTGGAATTCAGCAAAATATGTTGAGTCCATTAGGCTGTTTAGTGTTTCCAGTACAACACACTAAGTGTCTTTTCCCCTTCAGACTATGTTAGTATTCTCTGGGAAAACAGAACTTTATTGTGTTATATATGTTACTCTATTATATACAGTATTAGTATATTACATGCACACATGTGGAGACATACATATATATTTTTAAAGAATTAACTCATATGATTGTGGGAGCCGGCAAGTCCAAAATCAGCAATTCAGTGAGAGTTGATGGTTCAACCTTGAGTCTGAAATTGCAAGACAGGACACTGGGCAGGAGACCAGCCAGGGTTTCTGCATTACAGTCCTGTGGCAGAAGTAATTCTTTGGGAAACCACAGTCTCTGCTCTTAAGACCTTGAACTGGTTGGGTGAGGCCCACCCACATTTGGGGGACAATCAGCTTTACTCATCTTTCTACAGGCTGTATATGTCGATCACATCTAAACATATTATCAGGGCAACATGTAGACTGGTGTTTGACCACACCAAAGGGCACACCTCAGCCTTGCCAAGCTGACATAAAATTGACCATCATATCACTACTGCTCCAACATACTGAGTGAAGATAGCATAAGTGCACTGAGAGTCCACAGCACTGCATATGTCTTCTCCCCATGTGTTTTACATACAACCCTTGACCTTCTCCGGGACATAGCAATAGCAAGTGTCCTTGAGAGTGGACCAGGAAGGATGTGTGTGCCCAGGACTGTGTGAGCAGACTGGTATCTGCCTCCCGTCACTCCTTTTGAGGCTGAATTCCCTCCGGTACACTTGGAGCAAGAAAGCTTTTACCATCCCTGGGTCCTCTAATTGGTCTCAAAGAATCTTTGTGCCTCTGTTCACATTGCTCTTGGGGCCCCCTGAAAGCTATGAACATGGTTCCCCCAGACATGAGTCTATGCTTACCATCCAAGCATGGGCAGAGAGGGCTATAGGAGAAGAACCACTCAGCATCCCTTCACAACACACCAGATGTGGCTGCAACACACTTGGCTGAAGGTTTGGTGACAACAAAAGAATCCTGTAATATAGCAATAGAAGTAATACTGAACATGACTGCTTAGCAGCCCCAGCAACTTAGCAAGGTAAACCTTCTTAAGGATTCTCCATAGAATTCAGCCCAATTCCAAATCTTAATCCCTGTCTTAAGGTTCATCTTTTTTTTTTTTTTTTTTTTGGTACCAGGGATCAAACTCGGGATCTTGCACTTTCCAGGCAGAACCACTGAGCTAAATCCCCAGCCCCTAAGGTTCATCTTTTTATTGCCCAGTGGAGGGAGACTACTTTTTACATCCTTCACTGAGTAAACCTGCACTCCTCTATAGGATGAATGCTCTACACCACTAAGAAACTCTGTGGATTCCACAATCCTCAGCAAAACCTTCCCAGCCCTGGTTATTGATCAGGCTTGTGCTCAGTGCCCTTGGGTGCTGTGTGCTTGGTATTCCAGGATAGGCTTCCATGTTTCTTCACCTGAAGAATATGCCTGTCTCCCAAAGTCTCCCTTTAGTTAATCTTCTAGGGTACTATAGATCTTCTGGGAAAACACAGAACACAGTCACGCATATCCCAGGAACAAAAATAATTCTCTGAAGCAGTGGATTCCAAATCTATATTAACAAAGAAAAGTATTATTTTCAAACAAAAAATGTACCAAGCTTTTCTCTGTCCATGTTATGGTGTATAGTGATTTCGGTTTCCCTTTGCGCCTCTCTGTTCCTGATGGCCCTTGGGAAGCAGGGTCCCCTCCTGTGAGTCATACCCTCAGGCAGGGCTTTCACCCATGATCATTCCTCAGGATAGACTCAGAGTACAATAAATTCATACAGCACAACAGGATAAATAGATCAGATAGACCACACCATTTATTGTAAGAGGTTGTACCAGCCCCATAAGACTTCCCAGAGGGTGGGGAAGAAACAATATCTCAGCACATACACAACCTATATGTGGCACCACAGGGAGCCACGGTGTACTTGCTGAGAAGCACCGTCCATGCTGCAAAAGACTGACCCCGCTGTGTGCATGTACAGATGTGAGCACACACGTGTGTCTCCCATAAGTCAAGTCAAGTCTTTAGCAGACAGAACTTTCCCCTCCCAGGATCACTGGCAAACGGGAAGAGGACAACATAAAGATAGATTCTCCCACCACCAGCAGTTAGGTCCCTAGGGCTGGCTGAGAAGTAGAGCTGCAGCTCATGAAACACCTCCACAGTAACTGGCCTTGGAAACTCAGAGAATGTCTCTCTCACGCATTTCAGTTGTAACTGTTTCTAGGTTGAAAAGCTGTGGTCTAAAAAACAAAAAAATAACAAGAGGGATTGACTACTCTTTTTACAGAGGAAAAGTTATTGCAATCTAGCAAGATGTCTTTTTTTTACTTCAAAAGGTAAAGAACAATGTCAGAATTTTGGTCTCAACCTTCTTGATAAACATAAAAAATTCTGTCACATGAGCACATCTGCAACCAAACTCTGCTTTCTTGCTGCTACTGAAGAATAAAAATAGCATCTTTATAGTTCTCGATTGTATCCCAGTTCCTAGCAGAATGTCTGGCACACAGTAAATGCTCAATAAATATTTATTGAAACAGTGTGCTCCACAGATTGAAAGAGTGGGTGACTTTTAGTGTATTCATCCCAAATTTAGGGAAATGAAATTCATCCCACTTGTCAATTACAGTTTAAGAAGATTATCTAGCAGGAGGCAGCCTTCTTGAAATAAGATTCCAGGCAGAAATCCATTTGTCAACTAATGATACAGATATTAAGAAATGAGAAGCCTCTAGCAAAATCACTAAGTCCAACCTCCCACCTGTGTGAGAAGCAGCTAAAGTGCCATTATCTGCTTCCACCACAGGACAGAAGTCCTTCAACCCCTTCTGTTCTCCACCTTCAGAATCTGGTGAGAAAGCAGATACTCACTCCCACTACGAAACACACAGACCGTCGTGCTGTTTACATGATGAGAAGCCGTGCGGGTCCAACTCTTCTCCCAGCATTCAAAATGTTACCAGACATACTCACCCTTCTTTTGATAGAAGTCAACAGCTCACGCTATGCAAATAGTTGGGTCTGAATAAATATAGCATAGCTAAAAGTTCAATCTTTTTAATAATCATTCCTTTTTTGCTCTTAATTAGACTGGAGTTGAGCTAAGGCCTGTATCTTTAACATCTATGACAAAAGAAGTTGTTTAAGCAAATAGTATAAATAAGCACAGGCACTATATTAAGATTATAGAAAACCACATTAATCCTACTTGTGAGAACTAAAATTTTAAATACTTTTATACTGGTTATTTGCACATAAAAGGGTCTATTGAGGGTTTTGAAAATGAGTTTTATGTGTATTAAAGCATGCCTAACTGGATTTTCTCATCAATGCTCTTTTGTATTCTTTTAGTATTCTTTCCCTTAATGATACAATAAAAAGTGCTAACACTGAATTATTTTTTAAATAGTCTACATTTCAATTAGATGGTAGTTTAACTTTATGTAAATTAGTGAGGTTTATTCTATGAAAATACTGAGTAAAAAGAGCTCATGAATAGAAATAATACTTCATAACCGAAAAACATGAGGTTAAAAAAGTGGAATGCTTCCTCCACCAAAACCCATAACCCTTACAAGTGCCTCTTTTTGTCCTTTGTCCTTGAATATGACCGTGGCAGAAATAATTGACTGTGAGACACATTGAAGAGAAGGCAAAATAAAGGAAACGTTTGCTTTTTCTCGTTATCTCCATTCTGACATTTGCCTGGTTGATTGGCTGTTCCCTTTGTGGGAGTTAGATCTTAAATCACAAAAGCATGGAAAAGAAAACAAGAGCCAGACTATGTTTGTCTCCGACAGCAAAGACAGATGGGTTTCTATCTTGGTCTTAAATTGCCTAGAAAACATTTCCTATAATGTTAGCATTTACTTCACCTACACAGATTGTCCCCAACTCTCAACGGTTTAAGTTTTCTGACTTTACAGTGGTCGAAGAGCAACTTACCTCGGAAGTCAAGCTTTGATCTTTCCTCAGGCCTGGGCTGTGTAGCGCACCCTCCCCTGCAAGCTGCAGCCAGGGTGACACCAGGGAAAGCAGCCCATGCTCCACAACATGTCATGTTGCTGAGCTACAATGTTGAGTTGGTTGGCGGATTCAGTGCTATTTCACCTTCCAGTAGTTGACGGGGGTGTAACCCCATAGTGAGTGAGAAGCATCTAGACTTAATCCGCATACTCTTGTACATACTCACACATCCATAGTTCCAAAACTGTTGCCTTTATGTGTGACTTACATTGAAGACAACTGATTAGCTATTTCCAGAATTACTCATTTCTACATTTACACACTCAGTAAGCACTGGTTGTGTCACCCATTATAGGCTAAGCACGGAATTGTAGAAAGAAGCCAAGGCAGCCCCAGCCGAAGGAACTTATAGTCTAAGAAAGGAACAGACCTATTTGTCAAATTAGTTCCACTTCCCCAGGGACAAAAGAGGCGAGCACAAACACCAGCCAATTCTGCCTGGGCGCTAAAGATGGCAATGTAGAAAAACCAACACCTCCTCTGGTTCCCTGGAAGATAAGGAAATTCTGTCTGAAGGGAAGAGGAGAAAAGGCATTCCAGCTAACAGACTGGCCATGCAGGAGCATGGTGAGGGGAAACAGGGTGCATGGTCGGTGGTAGGTCAGCATCATGAAAATACAATGGCAATGAAGGATGGATCAAGGCTGGAAAAGCAAATTAAAAGCCAATCATAAACTGAGCATGGTGACCCATGTCAGTAGTCCCAGCACTCAGGAGACTGAGGCAGGAGAATCTCAATTTTGAGGGACACCTTGGTTACACTGGGATTTTAAGGTTAGCCTGGACTATATAGTGAAATCCTGCCTCAGAAAAATCATAAAAGATCTTTTACTCTCTGGATTATTCTGATCCTTGATGTTCAGGCCAGGGACTCTTTTATTTTCTAGTATTATAGATTGAACTCAGGGCCTAACACGTGCTAGGCAAATACTACACCATTGGAATGTTAGTTTTTATTTTGAGACAAGGTCTCCCTAAGTTGCCCAGGCTGGCCTCAGACTTGGGATCCTCCTGCCTCAGGAGGAGGATCACTCCTGTAATCCTGGGCTAGTGACTGTTAGTCTATTTTAAGTCAAAGGAAACCTCATTAAATAGATAAAACCCTGGTCCCTTTCCCTAGAAAGCATCTCATAAAGAAGGTCTTCCACAATCATACTCTCAGAACTTCCACCTCTCCATCACCCAAACACATGACCCTTTGCTAGTTTTCCCTCCTTGTGCAGCCAGACTCCAGACTCCCAAGATCAGGACCTGCACCCAGACTGTGACACAGAAAGCTCAATCTGAGCTGGACAGGTCAGAGACCTCAGATTTTGGGTTTTCTTCTTTTCCTGTCCTGAACTCACCTGTGTAGTTTCACCCACATTTCTCTATTCTAACAGCTGTGCCATGGAGGTAGCTTCACATTTTGAAGGAACTCTTTGAAACTTTCCCCTCCTTTTTTATTTTCAACTTTAGTTAGTAACAACCACCAAAACCCATATCTGAGGTGATTTTCGGTTTATAAGTGGGTCTCTCTTGTCTAGCACAATATAAACTATTTCTGTAATTAGTTACTTAAAGCCCCTGCTCTTTCATGCCTTCTACAATTAGCTTCTATCTATAAAGATCTGCATGCTAAAAATAGACCTAACTCTCACCCTGCGTCTCAGATCTTGTTTTTCTGGTTTTCTTAATGTTCATTGTCCTACTCTGGATCTTCTGCAGGTTTTCAAGACTCTTTTAATAAGGGAGATGTAACAGTTGGGTTGCTACTTTAAATATAACTTATGATCTACATCATTTTTCCCAAAAATTTCATCTCATGACAAAAATATTAACCAGATAATTATTTTCCCCAGGAAGAGACCAAATCCTTGTGCAAGACAAAAGGTAGACATTCTCTATGGTCCCTGCTCCTGCCCAGCCTGATGCTACTTTCAATATATCTAAGAAATCTCAAGAAAATATGCTGAAGACATACAAGGCAAACTCACTGTTGGAACAAGTAAAGATATCTGTCAAAATAAATCCCCTTGAGGGTGAGAAGAGCCCAAAGAAGTCCACTGGCCACCATAACACTGTGTGGTCTCCTCAAGTGACCACTGCTGTCTCTGACAGCTGGCCATGTGCTCATGCACTGTGGGTCCCCATGATAAGCAGAAGGACTCCTTCCTATTGAGCCCATTCATCTTCTCCATCTCCACCACCATGAAACTCAATACACAGGCCTCATTTCTCAAGAACTAATGTTCTTACTGTTGGAGTTGAGAAAGTTACTGGAGGAGAGTTATACATTTAAACTCTCAGTTTTCACAACTGTATAAAAGGATCGCATATTTATTGTACAGCCAATACAAGCTGGGTGCTATAAGTGAAATATAGTTCCTAGCGCCATGGAGGCTATGTTCTTCAGGTTGGGGGGAGAATAGTATCACTCACTTCATAGGGCTAGGAAGCTTATAGGAGTTAGTTAAGTGTTAGACACCTGGAAGAAAGAATAACACACAATAAGGGCTCAATATAATTTAAATTGTAGTTTTAAAACCATTATGAGAGTGGTTGTCATATAGTACATGCTCATTAAAAGACAAATAATATAATATTATGATAGCAGGCATTCTTTCTGGAGTGAGGTGGAATCTCAGCATTGTTTTCATTTGCATCTCTTGAATGACTAGTGATGTTGAACATTTTTTCATATATGTTTATTTGATATTTCTACTTATTTGTCTGAGAAATGTCTGTTCATTTCAGATGCCCATTTTTGGATTGGGTCTTTAAATTTGGGAGGTCTGATTTTTTTAAGTTCTTTATAGATTTGAGATAGTAGATCCTTGTCTGAGGAACAGAACATGAAGATTATTTCCCACGTTGTGGGTTGTCTCTTCACACTGTTGGTGGTTTCTT